GCCCAATATTCCATTTGTTACTATCTTTTCGGGTGCCTAGTGGGTTCGGACCAACCCGCTTCGAATTGCCAACACTCTGCCTTTGCCCTACCCGCTTCTCCTTTCCTCCATCACTTTTTAGCGTCGTCGCATACGACAGTGGACCTCCCCCATCCATCGTAACATTAATCAGATCTTTGCAATGCGGGCATGGGAAGGAAATCTTCCACGGTTGCTTCACTTTATTCTGATTCTCCACTGGACTTCTTTGTCTTCTCTTCTCCTTTTCAGTTACAATCTAGGGAATTTCACAGGTCTATCTGCAAGTTCATAGCTAGCAACCTTCAGTTTCCAGCATCCATTCCTGTGAAATCCTCCTGGAAAACAAATCCTCTTTGTATTACGACCCCCTTGCACCGTTAGCGCCAGATATTTCCCCCTTCTGTTCGTCCCAAATGAAAGCCATAACTCATAATTCCTCTTCACCAAGTGTTTAGCCCAACACCCTGGCTTTTTTCTCCACCAGAACTTGTTAAGAGCTTCTAGGAACCATTCAAACTCATCTTTCTCTAGAATGATCGAGCACCCAAATCCGTGCCCATTCTCGGTGATCTGTATACCATCTGCCCTTTTCCCATCGCATACCAGATCAAAAGATTTATTCTCAATCGCTAAAAATCTTCTTTCGAATATACTCATGTCTTTTCTTACAATTAGGCCGACCAAATTTCCGACAATTTGGAACAGGTAGAGAGAAAACTGGAGAGAGAAAATTTTAGAGTGAGAGTCCCTTACCCTCAAAATTATCCACCAAGTTGTAAATAATAGTTTATAACATTTATTGATAATCATAGACGTTTAAGTTGGTTTTATCTACTTAAAGAAAAATTTGAAGCAGAACATGTTTTCAAAAATTTTTATAATATGGTTGAAACCCAATTTCAAACAAAAATTCGAGTGGTTAGGAGTGATAATGGAAATGAGTATTTTGATCAAATTTTAGGGTCGTTTTCGTATAAAAAGGAATTGTTCATCACAATTCTTGCAATAACACTTCTCAATAAAATAGAGTAGAATAAAGAAAAAATAAGCACCTTTTACAAGTAGTTAGGTCCTTCATATTTACCACTAATGTACCTAACTACTTATGGGGGGAAGCAATTCTTATTGTTACATACCTGATCAACAGGATGCCATCAAGAGTTTGAACTTTAGACATTCTAACGACTTTCAAAAATTCATTTTCCAATGTCTCGATTGACCTCCTACTTACTATTAAGAGTTTTGGGATGTGTTGCATTCATTCATATATATAATCGTAATAGAGATATAAGTTAAATCTAGGAACAATAAAATGTGTTTTTTTAGAATATTCTCTCACACAAAAAAAGGTATAAATGTTTTCATTCTACTAGAAAAAAAAATTTGGTCATAATGGATGTTACATTTCTTGAATTTCAAAGTTTTTTTAGTCCTCTTCTTCAAGGAGGGGAAGGAAATGAAGACTTAGCGTTTGAGAAAGAAAAGATCGAAAAAAATTCTGATGGTTATCCAAATGGTGAAATTGCAACTTTTACTCTTGATATTCTGGATAAGGAAAACTTCGGGGGGGGAAGGGGGAGGGGCCCACCTTAAATCCCGAACACAAAAAAGCCACTAGTGAAATGAATTATGCACGCTTCAATAATGAGAGGTTGTTCGGAAAAATTTACACTAAAAGAAAGCCGATTCAAATTAAGAAAGATGTAGTTATGTCTCCTCAAAGCTGAGAATCTGATGATGACCAGTTTGCTTAAAGGGAAATTGATTGTTGGGTGCAAGTGGGTTTTCACTATAAAATTCAACTCAGATAGATCCTTGAGATGCTATAAAGTAAGTTTAGGAGTAAAAAAATTTATGCAGACATATAGAGTCGATTATCAGGAGACGCTTGCCCTTGTTGCTAAAGAGAATTCTACTCGGATGTTATTCTCTGTAACTATGAATTTAGAATGATCACTGTTTCAATTGAATGTTAGAAATGCATTCCTAAATAAAGAGTTAGAAGAGAAAGTCTATATGGATGTGCTGTCTGGCTTTGAAGAAAAGTTTAGAGGAAAAGTCTGTAAGCTGAAGAAAATCATTATATGGATTAAAATAGTCTCCCTGAGCTTGGTTCGAGAGATTTACCAGATTTATTAAAAAAGAATGATATAGCTAAAGACAATCTGATCATACAATGTTTATGAAACACACTATTAATGAAAGGATGACTATCTTGATTGTATACGTGGATGATATAATACTTATTGGGAATGATGATGATTAGATCAGTAAGTTGAAAAAATATCGTCTCAAAATTTGAAATTAAGAATTTGGCACCGTTACGCTACTTCCTAGATATGGAAATTGCAAGGTCAAATATGAAAAATTGTGTCACAAAGAAAGTATATACCTTATGAGGGAGATCTGGAAGCCGCATATAAACTTCTCAAGTATTTAAAAAGTACACTGGGAAGGAGGTTGCTGTTCAATAAAAATAATAAAAAGAGTATAAAAGTTTTCACAGATGCAGACTGAGTAGGTTCAGTTTTAGATAGACGATCAATCTTTGGTACTGTACATTGTTATGGGGAAATCTGGTTACTTGGCGAAGTAAAAAAGAAAGTGTGGTCGTTAGAAGTAATATAAAAGCCGAGTATAGAGTTATGGCAAATGGAGCTTGTGACGTATTATGGATTAAAAGAGTACTTGAAGAACTAAGATTAGATGCAAAAGCACTTATGAAAGTATTTTGTGATAACAAATCAAGTATAAGCATTGCGCACAACCCAGTTCAACATGATTGTACGAAATATATTGAAATTGATAAACATTTCATTAAATAAAAGCTGGAGAATAGAGTTGTTTGTATGCCGTTTGTGATTTCTGAGCAACAAACAACTGATGTTATTAATAGCATTTCAGACCAAAATTTGAATCCTTAATGGACAAGTTAGACATGATCAATATTTATACACCAACTTGAGGAGAGGTGTAGAAATATATGAAAAGAATCAAAAGTTGACTAGATATCTTTAGAATTATTACTGTATATTTTTAGAATTTATTACTGTATATTTTTAGAAGTTATTACTACGTATCTTTAAGATTTATTATTATAATTTTTAGGAGTGATTACTATTGATTGTATAGTCATTTACTTTTAAAATTACGAAGATAAAATAGGAATATAAACTCTATAATTCAGCTTTTTGTATCAATTAATCATACCAAAAAATAAAGAAGAAAAAATTTTCCTTTTCCTGTCTGCGTTCAACGTCATTGAGCTATGGAGGAATTCAATGTGTAGGCTACCTTTGGATGGGTGATTGCTGAAGAAGAGTTATGGAAGGGGAAAATAGATATATTTTTTTGGGGAGGAGGAAAGTTGTTATAACTCCTACAATAGGATCTTAGAACGGGATAAATTAGTGTGAGTTTTTTAAGAGAGAGTTCAAAGATCTACAACATTTGAGTACCCAGGCAACTTTTCTGAAATTAATTTTTGCTGATAACCTCCATTGCATTAGGGTTGGAGTTATTATAAAACTGATATAGTTACTGCTCTTTTGACTAGAATCTGTCTTATCTAGGCATATCGGTTATAAATCTATGTATACAAAAATAAACTGCCACTGGACAGGAGCCAGAAGAACAAAATAACATTCCTAAAACACATACTAAAAAATGAAACAATATTAAAATGCTTGAGCTTCATATCTTTTGCTTCTCTACACTGAAACACCCTACCAAAAGGAATTATTTTTCCTGTTCTCTCAATGTCTTTTACAGTTCAGCTGAAAGGATGTTGAACACCATGAGTTGATGATTATGGATTTGAACCCAAAATTTACATATAAGTTTCCTTGATTTCACATCATATCTATGTCTCTTTCCTTCAAATTGTTACTGAACTGAAATGGAGATAGGGGTAAATCTGTGGATAAGACCCTCAAGAAAACACAACAATAAAATGTTCTAAACTCATGTCTAAAGTTTCTTCTGATTTTTTTCCTCTTGCCAGAAAACAAGATTTTTCAGAAAGGAGGAAGATACAAAACTAGAGGAGAAGAGATTCTCGGAGAAAATACAATAACAAAAAGCAAAGTAAGGAAATTTAGAAAGTTAACAGACCATCTCGTTTGTAGGATGGGCTGCCAACAACCATGTCCTTTGGTCCACAAGGAATCTTGGGAGCTCACTCTATAAGCATATAAAGAAAAAGATATGGAAGAGGAGGAACAAGGGACAGAGAACACAACTGAAGGGATAATGGAAGTGATGCAGAATGGACTAGCAATAGATTTCTTATATAGTTTAGAAATTGTAATTATATTAGATGTTAAACTACTATACTACTTAAGAATCTATATTATTGAGGAGTATTATTATAATTTTAATAACTTAAGATTTTTATTCTTATTAGTATTTTCCTATTTGTATTAAGATTAGTATTTCTAACTTAGTTTTATTCTAATTAGGAAAGATTATTATAAATAACCTTGTAATTTTACTTATTAATCATTCAAGTATTCAAAATATATTTTTCAGAGTTTCTGCGATGCAGTCAAATCCTTAAGTATTGTTTAAGACTTTTTAGATATGATGTATAAGAGTCCTAGGTGTGATATTTGAGTTTTTTCCTCCCAACTTTTTACTAGGCAAAGTAATGCTAATTTGTCCTACATCAGGAGGCTGGTAGCGGAGGTAAATGAAACGGTTATTTTTCGTTCTGTTGATTAAGTGGTTGCAGCTGTACCGATGCATGGTTATGTTTAATAGCTAGACTGTTTTCCTATCTGCAGTATCGGGAAATTTTCTGTTAATTATTGGGCAATAAATAACTTTTCTTCATTTATTTATGGTGTTCTGTTGTTAAAATTAGTGTTCATTGGAAGTCACAAAATTTTAATTAGAACTCACAAAAAAATTGTATAACTTTGAAATATTAGAAATGTGTGATTTAATTTCTTGACCTTTGCTGCATTAACTCATATCAGGGGTATCCTGTCTGGGCCAAGGTTCATAAATGGCTCCACCTTTCTTCAAATGATTTGGGAGTATAAAGCCAGGCATGTACAGTGCCTACCTGTGCCTCTGAGGAACAGGGTCAACCTCGTTGGTTTCAGAAGTCCAAGGCTGTTGCTGCAATGCCCCATCCTATTCTTGAAACAAGGCTTTGAACTCTAGTTCAAATATCAGGCACGGTATTATGCATGGGTGTTCTGTCTATTGTCTTCCCTCTGCGGAACCAATTCTTGCATCCTACTGATAATCGTAATCTGAAAATATTATAAATGATTTTGTGTCTTTGCTGACGTCCGCTCTTGGAGGTTGTGTTGGTAAACATGAACCATTGAGGAATGGCATGTAAGGTCACAGTTGTTTCCACATTTTAGTATCCTCACTTTTGGGAATTGACGGCTCATTTTGTAGAGAGAGGAATAGAGACTATCTTTTGTACCACTTAGTATGGATATTTTCCTCAGTAACATAAACTACTGGCATGCCAAGATGTAGGTTTCTGATTTCTTGCCCAATACACGATCTTCTAATATTGGAAATAAGTTGTCAATAAAGCGGTCTCTGTATGACAATGGATTTTGGATTTCAATTCATTACGAAAAAAAATGTCTCAACTTGTTCTTTTGCTGTCCCAATCTAATTAGGAAGTCAAATTTTGGCAGCATTTCATTCAGCAACCATTTATATCTACTGCTCAATCTTTTTCCCTTAGCTTGCATCCCCATGTCTATGATCAGTTTACTTCATTGCAACAACACAGAGGAACGCACTCATTGGAAAGCACATAGTTTGATGTATGTTTCTGTAATATCCTATAACCATCTCCACAAGCACATACTAAGGTAGTGCGCATGGTATGCCTAAATTGCACGTTTGGTACATTATTAATTATTTCATTCTCAATTTTAGCTTGAAAATGACCATCATACTTCGTGCTCGCCCTTTCTTTTCGTTCTTTTCCATTGATTATTCTGAAATAAAGTTATTATGCAATATACTGTCTTTTCTTTATGTACTAGACTAGACAGCCTGAAATGGGAAAGTGGTGCACCCACCCGCTGGTGTCAATAACCAGTAATTTAGACTAGAGATCATGCCTTGTCTGTTGTTGAAGAAAATTTTCTAAAAATGGAGTCTTTCTGTTGGTATTCAAGCATTAATACAAAGCAACAAGTATTTTTGTTCATGATCTTCTATTTTTGTGTAAATTACTTGCTTTTGACTGGACGAAAAGAAGTTTATTATAAGTATGTAAAAGTTAGTCCGAAGATATTCTGATCAATAAAAAAACTTTTAATATACGTGTATATTCAATCTATATATATACACATGTACACACACACAAACTGTTAATTTAATGTTATCTGCAGGCCGTATATCTACAAAGTTGAGTCAGCAGAGGGCCCTCTGGTAAAGCTTCTACCAAAATGATTTTTTTGGGTGATTGCAGGCAACAGAGTCTTCTTTATGGCGATTTGAAGATCATTATTGTCAAAATAAAGGAACTGTGCCATTGAAGAGACTGGAGGAAAAGATACTGGATCCTATATATAAATTCCTTGTATACACACACACACACACACACACACACACACACACACACACACATTGAAGTGAAGAAACCCTTTTTCAGATGGAGATAAAGGCCCTTGTGGGTATAGGATAAACCTGCTGCACGGATTGACAGAAGTTGTAAGAATAAACTTATTGAATAACTTTTATGTTAAGAAAATAAAATGAAGTCCTGGAATTGAAAAAAAAAAACATATGCTATTTATCATAATGCATGAAAATATATCAAAATTGTAAGTTAGAGAGTTTTATCTCCAATCCCAGATTTTAAATAATATATTACTATTCATAATTTTAAGATTATGACCTTTATGAGCCTTGTTCTGAAATCAAGAAGCTGATAGTGGGGTCAAGGGATTAAATGAAAGTAAGCATCTTTAAAGAAATGAAAAAGAAGAAGTTTAAATAATGAGCAGAGGGAGAGACAATACCTGAAACTGTAGAAAAAGGAATAAGCAAACAGATACGAAAAGAAGAAAGGCCATCTCCATCTCCATCTCCATCTCCATCTCCATCTCCATCCCATGCTCCATAATCTTTGTTTAGGGTTGAGAAGCCAAACCCATGTGAGCCGCAACCAAAGGAAATATTCCACAGTGCTTAATTCCTACATAATTTTTTTAAAAAAATATTTTATAACAGTAGGTTAATTTATACACTATGGTAGGTGTAGGACCCAGTAGCAGCATCATACATCTTTATCACTGATCACAAATCAATCTCTTCAGAAAAAATAAAATTAAAAATCCATTCCTTTGTTTGTCTTCTTCTGCTGATCCGTACGTGTGGCATCAAGAAAGAAAATCAGACTTAAAAAGAAAAAGTGAGGTAAAGTTGGATTTCCACACACATCAAACTGTGTCCTTTTTCTGTTCACTTCACTGTTCCAATTTTATTTATGCGCATGCTTCTACAATTTATTTTGGCTCTCTCCCCTTCCTCAAAATTCTCTTCATACTTTTTCCCCAGAAAAAAAAATTCTCTTGCTACTGTATACATCTTTGTATCTCTCACATGCCTGGTTTCTAAATCTTATCCTCAATAATCCTCCATACCCACTGAGAACACAGTTTTGGGGGTGCCTACTGTCCTCCTTCAATATAAAGTTAGAAGTTACTAGTAGAGATTTGATTAAGTGACATTCTTGAAATATTGGATGGAGATAGTTAGATGGCACAATGCTATCCGTGCTTATAGCATTTTGACAAATAAAATTAGATAGATGATATTGGTATGTCTTTTTTTTTTTTTTTTTTTTTATAAAAAATAATAAATTTGAATCGAATTATATTCTTATATATATATTTAACCAATATATAAATATGTCACTATATTAATATATTGGTAATAACATATCCTAATAATTTATGAGAGTGAAATAATGGTATTAATGTTATGTGATATTTTAGCAAGGCAAAATATTGGACAAAATGTTTGAAGAGATGTGGATCCGAGGTAATATCATTTTCAAGTTGTAAAATGTGCCACATCTCCAATATCAAAGGATGGAGGCTGCCTCTGACTCTAAGAGTTCAATAGGAGAAGGATCTAACTGAAAAAGGCAGAACAGAAGAATTGGAAAATTTGAAATGTCACATTTCAGGTCCTGCTAAAAAAGCAAGCACTCAGCTCAATTCCTTTCTCCTGAGCCTTCTGTTTTCATCCCCATCCACTACTTTGCCCTTTCTCAGAGGGAGGGAAATATATATATATATATATGTGTATATATGTATAGATATATAGATATATGTAAGTGGAGGGGTCGTCCCACTTTCTTTTCTGCTTTTTCCCTTCTGTGAACAGAGCCCAGATGCATGATGATGATACAAAAATCAATATTGTTTTTCATGATTGTAACTCTGGCTTCTCTTGTATTTTCCTCTGCATTGATGACATAGACCCCCACCAGCAGACTAACCATAATAATAAAATTCCAGAGGGGGAAAAAAAAAAAAATCAATTCAATCTATTGAATTGGGAATGCTTTGTTCCTCTTGTCAACTTGTGAGAGCAATAATATTTTCTTCTTTATAAACTTTTTTCCTCTCTTCTCTTTAAAAAGATATTAAGAATTGGACGACCAAACTACTTTTACAAAAGCTATAATGTATGAGATGATTTTTAGTGATGTTAGCTTTTGTTTTGTTTCATGTAAATCTTTCATATTTTAAGTGATTTACTTTTTGTATGATTAGATTATTCAATATTTTAGTGTTAATTTATGTTTGGGAACAATTTAATTTTAATATACAAAATTTTAATCCAAGACTATAACATTCTAAATACTAGAATAATTTATATGTGAAAAGTAAATCTATACAATTTTTTCTTATTTGAAAGTGACGACGAGTGTCAGATTACTTAATAATGAATTAATATTTTTTTATGTAAAAATTTATACAATAACAAATACATACTAACGATAATATAAACTTACAATAAAAATATATTAATACGCATAAATCGATCAAAAACTCATAATTTTTTATAAAAAGAATAGAAGTAATTAAAAGAATAATTGACAATAAATAAAATTATTATGATAATAAAAAATTAAAATAGTGGTAATAACATATAGTGAAAATATGAAGATGAGATAAATATAAAGATGAGGTTTGTGGGGCATGTGGCAAATTTTGGTTGGTACACTCCCTTTTTTTGCTATTTATGAAGTGTCGTTTTAGCCCAGAATCAGACTTTAAGACTGGTTAAAGAAACAGGTCTCCCTCGCCATTTTCCCCTACAACATCTAAATTGGCCAGACAATGCCTGCTGATTCTGATTCTCAATCCCATTTTAAACACTAATCATTCAAAAGTCATCATGTCAATCTCTCTTTAATTTCAAATCTTTAGACTGTAGGGGAAGAGATGACTACACCTCCAACTCAGAAAAACTCTTGAAACAAGCGAACGATGTTTTAAGATAACCAAGAAAATTATGTCCAATTATTAAATAAGATTATATGAAAGAAAACAACTTGTAAACAAACAAAGAAGAAAGTAGCAAATTAAATGTAGGCCATTCTTTGTTAAAATATTTTTAACACCTTCCTATGGCATCAAAACCACCAGCCTGCCCCCCACCAGACAACACAAACACACAACACCATTGCAACAAAAAACAACAACATGAAATTAACAACCCCATCTTCATCTTCATCTTCATCTTCCTCATCCTCCATTAATCAACCCTAAATATCTACAACACATCATCCATTAATCTATCATCATTATAACTACCATTCCCATTTACCAACAACCCTCTGCTCTCTTCCTCTTTCTGCTCCTTCACCATGCTCAGCTCCATGCTCGTCAGCTTGCTGGCATTCAACGCCTCTGCTTCCCAGTCCGTACACACCAGCACCGCGTACAGTACGCACACGGCGCACGCCACTTGCGCTGACAACAGCCCGAACCATAACCCGCTGAATCCCACCTTTAGCCAGAAGGCGAGGACGACTGCCACTGGAGTGCCTACCAAGTAGAAGGAGAGGAGGTTGACTCGGGCGCCCACCACTGGCCTGGCTGTGCCGCGTAGAATGCCGCACCCGGTGGTTTGCGGGCAGTTGCCGAGCTCGCAGATACCTATGAGGGGCATGACCGAGGCCACTAGAGTGGTGACTAAGTGATCGTTTGTGAACAAATTGGCCCACCTCTCGCTCAGCGCCGCCGTCCATATTACGTTGATAACGCCAATTAGGAAAGCGCAGGCAAGTGCCACTGTGGCCGCCAGCTTCGCTTCTGCGGCTTCCCGGCTCCCAGTTCATTACCCACCTGGAAAAAAATTATATAAAAAATACAAAATATTCTTTTAAAAGTTAAAAAGGAAATTAAACTGGTTTTTATTAGTAGTTTCAAATATAATAGCCATTGAGACATAATGTCACATAGATTTTCTGTTTGTAATTAATTAAAATAGAACAAAGTTATTTCAAAAAGAATAATTGAACTTATTATAATATTTCTAGTAATTATTTTATTGTCTTAATATGTGTGTGTATACTGTAAGCAAATGGGGCAAAATATATATTATTGATCCACTTGTGTTGGGTTATATTTATATCGTCATAGGAGGCTTTATATAGTTGTGTCTTGTACTATGGTGCCCAATCACACGTTACAATATGTGTGAAACCCAAAAGTGGGTGAGGCAATCATCTAACAACTTAAATCACATACCCATATTACATATCTTTCTCCATAAATAATAATAATAATGTAACATGCTAGAGCTAT